GAAGTTGAAGAAATAGTGGGAACGGCACTAATAAAAGTAGTTTTTGAATTTTCTAAAGGCAACATTGCCGGTTGTCAAGTAATCAGTGGTAAAATTAGCCGTAACAAGCGGGTTTATGTCCTCCAAGGCAAAGAAGAAAAGAAGGTTTTTACAGGAGAAATTAAAAGTTTAGAAAGCAACAAGGTAGAAAGAGACGAAATTAGCAGCGGCCAAGAATGTGGAATTGTCCTAAAAGGATTTGACAAGTTTAAGGAAGGAGATAAAATAGTGGCCTTTCAATTAGTAAAAAAAAATGTTATTCATCAAAAATAATTTTTTGCAATCACGAAACCAAAAGATATACGAACGAGAGATAAGTCTCATTTTGCACAAAATAATCCAAAAATATAATTTGCCCTCCTTCTCTTTAAGTTATTGTCAATTAAGTGCACGGGGCGAGAATGTAAAAGTTTTTTTGTCTTTCGCACGGAGAGAAAATTGAGAAGAGCTGCTTGATTTAATAAATAAAAAATATTCACATCTAATAAAAAAAGAAATTGCCAAAAGTAAAAAATTTGCTTATATCCCTAACTTGATTTTCTTGCTCGACCAAGAATTAGAAACAATAAACAATCTAGAAAAAATTCTCCAAAAATTTACTACTAAACATGAAAATTAGCGAATTAACATTACCTCTTTCCATCATTATAGTTTTTTTTTCCCTGCTTGGATTTTCTTTTTTTTTGAACTACCTTTCAGCACTCTATTCTGAAGTCAATTTATTTAAGGTAGATTTAGTGAAAAAAAGAAAAGATAAAAGTAAAACTAAGAAGTTTCTTTTCATTTTAAAAAACGGCAATCTTCTTTTTGCTGTGGTTTGTTTTTGCCAAGTTATCCTTAATATTTTCATGTCTGATATATTTGTGACAAATGTAATTGATCAACTTTTAAAAGAAACTAACTTAAGTAATTATAGGTGAATATTTCTGCTTTTTTTCGGGTTTTTAATTGCTCTTTGTACTGAAATACTGGTGCGTTATTTAGCCAATCGACCAAGTGGTCGGAAAAGGATTTTTGATAATTTTTTCATCGATGTTACTTACTTCTTAATTCGTCCTTTTCATTATCTTTTGCGACCAATAGTTAAGCCCAAAAAAAAAATTTTTGCTAATTCAGAGCAAGATATTATCCGTTTTGTTAATAATTTAACTACTGACAATATTTTGGAGAAGAACGAGGCCAAACTTGTTCAATCAGCTTTCAAATTTGATGAATCAAAAGTTATTAACATAACCACTCCCTGAAAAAAAGTTATTACCCTCAAGCATGACATTTCTTATCAAGAAATACAGGCCATCCACTCCCAATACTTTTTTACTCGCTATCCCGTCCTCAACAAAAATAAAGAATTAACTGGAATATTTAACATGGAAGTATTCTATTGGAGATCAATAAAGAATAAAGAGGCGCGCTGGCAAGATTATATTGATAAAAGAATAGTGCGGTTTTCTCCAAATGATAAATTAGACAAAGTCTTAATTAAACTGCAAACCACTAATTGTCGGCTTGGCATTATCCAAGAAAAAAAAAAATTTTTGGGCATTATTACCCTTCAAGATGTTTTGAGTGCTTTGGTAGGAAAAATAAGGGATGAAAGAGATATATTGTTACTTCCTAGCCGCCTTAATCAACCTCCGAGTTCGTAAACAATCCTCTCACGAATTAAATTCATTAAAAAGGCATCAAGTAAGGAAGTTTCTTTCGGCAGGTTCTTTTATTTTGCTGGTGCAAAACTCAATATATTTAACAACTTTCTTGTTTTTGCTGGCAAAATCGTTAATATCAAAATCACCTTCTAAGTACTCTTGACTAAGAAATGTTGGGCTATCTTCTAAATAACTATAATCTCCCAAATTAATTAAATTATTATTAGTCAAAGCTCAACTTTCTTGATAATAATAATGATGTCTGAAATCATTTACTCTCTTTTCGATACTATTTATTTTGGTCCAAAAATCATCAAATTCTTTTTGTCTATCATTTATCGTGACTCCAATAAATCACAGTAGAACAAACCAGTGAAAAAGACTATAATTACCTTGGGTTATCAACCCCATAAGATTTTTTATTGCAAACGAACTATTAACCCATGTTTGATAAGCCTTAGAGAATCCTTCAGGTGAGCCTTCGAGAGCGTTATTGTGGAATGCTTGCAAACGGCCAATAATGTGCGGAACAACAAAAATAATAATAAGTGAATAAAGTAGAATCTTACGGACATACTGATTTTTCCAGGAAAAAAAACTTTCAACTTGAGGATTTTTTAATTTTTTTGACCGAGGAAACAAATCCCAATTATTAAAAATAATAAACAGTAAAGCCAAAATTACTGTCAAAGGACTAACAAAAGACAAAGTTAACAAGCAAGCGCTAGCAACATGAATAAGACTATTAAGAATAAATATTCACTTATTATGAAGATAAAAATTGTTATTCTCGATGTATTTATCTTTTTTTCACAAGTGTCTATTAATCCAAAGAGCAATAATGTTTAATGCCACTATCGCTACTAGAAAAAAAATAGCATAATTAAAAATCTTGCTCTTTTCATCTACCTTATTTGTACCTAAAAAAAACTGACTAAAATTTTTTTCTTCCCCAAATATAGAACTATAAATTTTTCCTAAAATGTCTGTTTCTAGGTACGTTTTCCCCAAACCAATGAATAGAATAGCAAAAACTAGTCAAGAAATAGTTTTAGATATTAATTTGGAAAAGAAAAAGTGTGGGTAATGAGATAATTCAGTCTTTTTTTTCGCCATAATAGAATATTTTAGAAATTAAATTTTTTCTCAAGAGAAAAATATATAAACCTTTTTATCCCAGTCATTTAAACAATGCCGGGCAGTTTTTGCTGACTTCTTAATTTTTCTAGTCTCTCAATCCTCTCTTCCAAAGTGGGATGAGTACGAAATAAATCTAGTAGGCTCTTTTTTTTCTTTTCTGGATTAAATTTTAAAAGAGCAATAGAATTAGGCTCTCCTTGTTGAACATTTTCATCCTCAGTTAAATCAACTCCTTCTACTACTCAAGACTTATTCTCTAATTCCAACAGTTTCCGTAAAGCTGCTAACATATCATCTATTCCCACTATTTCAGCTCCCCTTTTATCAGCAGCCAATTCCCGCTTTCGAGTATATCACAGAACAATCAAAATACCAATCAACCGCACAATACCAGTAATTATTTGAAAAAGTATCATTTTGAAAAACCACTTAATAATACTAAGTTCACCGGTCCTTCGCTCCTCTTCACTAGGCTGAAACAATCATCAAGCCAGCAAAAAACTAAACATTCAGTAAAAAACATCAAATATTCCTTGTACCAACAAAATCCGTCCAATGTCATAGTGGATAAGGTGAGATAGTTCGTGGCCTACTACTCCTCTAATTTCTTCGATGCTCATTGTTTCAATAAGATTGCTGGAAAAAGCAGTTAAAGTATTACCGGCCGGACCAGTGGCGAACGCATTAATTTCCTGGGAGGGATAAACGCCTACTTCTGGCATTTTCATTTTATAAATTCGGGCGACCTCACGAACAATTCGCACCACTTCTCTCGTCTTAGTTCCTAAAATTTTTCTATTATCAACTCGTTGGACATTTTTCACCCATTTTGCCAATCACTTGGAGAGATAATAAGAAATTAGGGAAGAAATAACAATAAAAATTATGGCTATAACTAGAAAAATAAAAAAAGCTGTTCAATTTCAATTCATATATATCAAATATTTTATTTAATGGCAACACAACCTCCTGTTTTAAATCACCCCAAAAACTATTGAATGACCTCTCAGCAATCAAACAAGTCAA